ATATAAGAGGTAATAACTTCTAAATAAGCCTTATTATCTATAGAGGTCTATATATCTAGTTATATAGATATAAAACTATAACTATCAAATACTGCTTTAAGTTATATATAATAGTAGATTTTAAAGAGTTACACTTTAGATTAGTATAACTAATCAAATTAGGATAATTAATAGTAGGTATTGTACTAAAATAAATAATATTATTAGTAAGTATATATTAACTCTTAAGTACTTTTAGTTTTAAATATAACTATAGTATATATACTAGAATAGATATAATTATAACTTTAGTTATTATTAATACACTAACTAATTTAAAAAAGATAATAAACTATTAAGCTCTTTAGAAATAAGTGTATTATAACTAATATTAAACTATAATAAATAGTTTATTATATAGTTATATACTTCTTCTTCTTTTATAGAAGTTTTAGTACTAATAATAGTACTTTCTTAATATTTCTTTTATTACTAGTATTAGATAAAAAGGTATTTATACTACTTTATTATAGGCTTTTATTTTTATTAGACTCTATATAGTTACTAATTATAGTATAATTAGTTAGTATAATTATTATAAATTAAATATAAGTATATAAGGAATTAAAGAATTAATATATATATATATATATTATATATAGAATAAGTAAGTAAAATAGATAAGTAAGTAAAATACTAAATTACTACTACCTTATAAATATAACTAAGACTTAATAATAAGATAATAATATTAATTTAAACTACTTAAAATCCTCTTCTCTAAATACTTCTTTATTAAACTAGTATATTTATTAATTATATTTAGTATTCTTATAAATACTATACAACTATTAACCTATTTCTATCCTTAGCCTATAACTACTACTCTAATATATTTCCTCTTATACCTAGGCTATTACCTCTCTTTATAACTAAATATCTTATACTTTAGATATAATAAGACTTCCTTTTTACCTTAAATAAGTATAGTATTTTTCTCTTTAAGGCTCTTAATTTTTACTTTTAATATTATAAGCTTAAATATAGTTCTTATTAATCCTTTAAGAAATTACTTTATAGCTATATAGCTATATATTAAAGAGCTATTTATATAATTAAAGAAGTAATTCTTAATTAATTTTTTTTAAGAACTTAGCTTTATTATAGTCTTTAGTATTTAAGAAGTCTAAACTACTAGTATTATTAAGAAAGAACCTAAGGGTAAAGAAGTATATAACTTAATATTTAATATACTTAACGTATATATATAGTAAGTAGCACATTATAGTAAGTAGTACACGTCTACCTTATTTCTACTAGCTTTATCCTTATATTAACCTTTCTCTATATACAACAATAGAATCTTCTTCTTAAGAAAGCTAAATCATCCTTATAATTACAGCTATCTAAAAAGACCAAAATCTATCTATATAAAAGGTAGCCTCTATCTACAATATACCTAAAACCACACTTTGTTATTAATGCGCTAGAAAAGTTATATAAGCTAAGACACATTTAAAATTAATAAAGATAACTATATCTAAAGAAGAAGTAATTCTTAAAAAAGTTATTAACCTAATTAATTAAGGATTTCTTCTATAATAAAAAGATATATAAGATATAGCTAATTAACTCTTTAATATATATAACAGGATATATATTAGACCTTAATAGGTAAAGAACTTTATATAACAATAACCCTAATTAAAAATATAATTTTAACGTTAAATTAACTATTAGAGAGCCTTAGCTAAGGATCCTATAATTATATAAGGCTAGTTTACACTTATATAAAATATAATTATAAAGTATAAGATATAGGATTATAATATCTATAATTTTAATAAGACTAGGTTCTTAATAAGAATACTATTATATATAAAGGTTATTATAACTTCTAACTAATATAGAAGGCCTTATATAAAGTAGCCTAGTAATTATAAATAGGTTTCTATTATTTAGAGTATATATATAGATAGCTAAGTAATACCTTTATATATTATTATAAAAGGTAAATATTACCTTTTATTATAGTACCTTAATAGTAAATTTCTAGCTATATAGTGTATTTACTTAAGTAAAAACAGATAGACTATAAATAAGATTAGCCTAGATTAACTAAAGCACTTTAATTAGTGTATAAAGTCTTATATAAAGGGTACTTATTACCTTTTAATCCTAGATAGCTATAATAGCTATAAATTAACTAAATTTAATAACTACTATAAAGAAGAAGGTATTATTACTTTATATATACCTCCTTATTTATTATATAAGCTTTAGCCTCTTAATATTAGCTATTTTAGCCCTTTAAAGCACTTATACAGTAAAAAAATTAAGAAAATAATATAGATATAAATTATATATATTACTAAGGATAACTTCTTTCTTGCTTTTAAAGTAGTATTCTTTACTTTAATAGGTAAAATAAATATATAAGTAGGTTTTTAACAAGCTAGTCTTATACCTTTTAATCCTAAAGTTATTATTTTTTGCCTAGATTTTAAGCTAAAGACACTAACACTAGTTAACTTATATCTAACTAGCTTAAGCTTATAGGACCTAAAGACACTAATAATAGTAATTAAAGGTGTATAAAGCTTTACCTTATCAAAAAAAAGGATTAGGGACTATTAAGGAAGTTTACTAACACTAATATATAAGGTAATTAACTTATAGTTAAAAGGTATTAGTAAGTTAGTATATTAACTTACTATTATTAAGGTAAAGAACTATTAACTTTATATAAAGATAAAGGTACTTAGTAAGCGCTAAAGGGCTAAAAAGACCTAACTATATCTTAGAGGATTACTTAATATAGCTAAAGTAAAGGCACTATAAGGAAAAAAGGACATTATTAAAGCTAAAGGTAAAGGTATATCCTAAAAGGGGGGTTATACAGAGAGTAGTAAACTACTTGCACAACAATATAGTAATTACAGGAAGACTAGATATAATATATAAACCTATAAGGTAGTTTAGGATACTAATAAAGAATAAAGTAATATATATTTTTAATTAATTTTATATAATCTAGTTAAATTAAGTTATTAAAAAGATAGAAAAGTAGGTAAATATACGCTACTTACTATAATACACTACTTACTATATATATACGTTATATAGTAAGTTATAGATTATAGTAAGTTATATATATCCTTTGCTTTTCTACCTCTTTAACCTTTACACTTACTTTTGTCTATATACAACTATAAACTCTTCTTCTAAAGAAAGCTAAATTATCTTTGCCCTCTAAGCTATCTAAAAAGACCTAAAAATATCTATATAAAAAGCAGCTGTTACCTTTAAGGTCCCTAAATTAACTCTCTATAACTAACGTATAGAATATATTATATAAGATAAGATATATCTAAAATTAAAGAAGATAATAGAAGTAGAAGAGAAGGTAATTCTTAATAAGGTTATTAACCTAATTAATTAAGGGTTTCTTCTATAATAAGAAGATATATAAGAAATAGCTAATCTTCTCCTAGATTTATATAATATAATATATATTAGACCTTAATAAGTAGAGAACTTTATATAATAATAACCTTAATTAAAAATATAATTTTAATGTTAAATTAACTATTAGAAGGCCTTAGCTAAAGATCTTATAATTATATAAGGCTAGTTTATACTTATATAAAATATAATTATAAAGTATAAGATATAGGATTATAATATCTATAATTTTAATAAGACTAGGTTCTTAATAGGAATACTATTATTAGAGAATTACAAAAAAATACAAAATACAATACAAATACAAAATACAAATACAAGAATACAAATACAAATATAAATACAAATACGTATTTGTATTTTATTTTAGTTTTTCTAAAATACATGTATTTGTATTTAAAATATAAATACATGTATTTGTATTTGTATTTTTGTATTTAAAATACATATCGTTATTTATTTTCTTCTTCCTTAAATAAATTATATAAAAATAACTTTAATAGCCTATATAAACTATATATACTAATAATACTGTATTTTATAAGATATAAGTTATATATATTTAGATATATATTATAGTATTTCTATTCTTTATAAAATTATAAGATATAAGATCTAAACCTCTAAGTATAACTATAGTATAAGGGTATAATTATATTATAGTAATAGTTATAGTTTTATAAAATCTAGAACTATAACTATTAGTATAATATAAAGGTATAGTTATAGTTTTAGATTTAGTTTTATAAAATTTTAAGGTATAAATATAGCTTAAAGGTATATTTTTAGTTATACTTATAGTTTTATAAAATTAAAAGATATAACTATAGCTTAAGGGTATAGTTATAAGTATATCTATTATTATAGTTTTATAAATTCTTAAACTATAACTATAAGTACAATATAAGAGTATAGTTATAGTTATAGTTATAGTTTTATAAATTTAAGAGGTATAAATATACCTTAAAGGTATAGTTATAATTATAGTTATAGGTATAGTTTTATAAAGTCTTAAACTATAACCATAAGTATAATATAAGAGTATAGTTATAGTTATAGTTATAGTTTTATAAAATCTTAAACTATAACTATAAGTATAATATAAGAGTATAGTTATAGTTATAGTTATAGTTTTATAAAATTAAAAGGTATAACTATAGCTTAAAGATATAGGTATAGTTATAGTTATAGTTAAAGTTTTATATAACTAAAAGGTATAACTAAAGTATAAAGGTATAGTTATATTTATAGTTTTATATAATTAAAAGGTATAACTATAGTATAAGGGTATAGTTATAGTTATATACTAAATATATAGTTATAGTAAGTTATATACTAAGTAAAAAAGTATATATAGTAGTATTTTACTTCTTTATTTTTCTTATTGTAAATAGTAACTTACTTTCTTATATACTATAAAGAATACTATTATATTAATAATAGTAAAGATTATAAGAATACTTTTAACTATTTATTTAACTATTAACTATCTTAACTACTTTATTTTACTCTTTATTAAAGAAATATATATATATATATATATATATAATAAAAAAATGGCTTCTGAATCCGGCGATTCCTTCTACGCTAGTGAATCCTCTAGCACCTCTCAAGCAGAGGATTCTATTATTAATTCCTCTCAGATATCAATTAATAGTACTAAAAACCAGTTTTTATACGCCCATAAAATAGAAAATCAAAAAAATTATATCTTTAAAGGCACTAAGCAGTATCCTATTACTAACGGTTTATTTACTTATAAACTATTACCTATTAATTTAAGTAAAGATAGGGAAATAGAATTAACCTGTAATATTAAAGGTTGTAATAAGAAATTTACTACTAAAGCAGCTTGATTTTAGACGTCTAATGCAGTAACTCACTATAAAAAAACCCACCCTATAATAGCAACATTAGAAAAAGAAGAACTAGATATAGATAAAATTAAGTGTAAGTTACTTTATACTTCTATATTATTACCTTCTTTATATATAGTAATATAACTATATATATATATATATATATATATTAATAATATATATATTATAGATTTATATATTATAGATTTATATATTATAGATTTATATATTATAGATCTATATATTATAGATATATATATTATAGATATATATATTATTAATATATATATAATAGTTATATATTATTATAACTACTACTCTTATTATAATAATAATTATAATTAATAATATTATTATTATTTACTTACTAACCTTTTAATAGTTCAGGACTATATAAAGAATAATAATAGAAGTAATATTACACAAAGCACTATTAATGACTTTATGTCTAATACACCAAATAAACGAAGATATAGAGAAAGTGGTACTATTAATAATTATAATAATATAGAAGAAACAGAATTCTATGATTATATTATTAATTATCTACTACAATTTAATATACCTTATAGTAATATTACTTCTAATGAGTTTAATTCTTTATTATCTTATTTAAATAAGTAAGTTAGCTTTTAATTATAACTATATATATATTTATATATATATATATTTATATATATATATATTTATATTTTACTATATATATTTTACTAATATTATCTTTATATAGCTCTAGTCCTACTGTTAATTATAGAGGCTTAACTGAAAACTTAGGTATTAAGTTTACTAGCTTAGAAGCAACTATTATATATAACCTACAGCAACACTTTTTAAACTATGGTTATATATCTATTCAGCTAGATATATGGACCTCTATAGATAATAAGGCCTATTTAGGGGTTATAGGCTCTTATATAGATAACTCTGCTAAGTTAAACTATATACAATTAGGTATATTAACTATTTCTTTCATCTAAAACTAGTTATTAATAATTTTACTATTATTAACTTATTATAAATATATATATACTAACTATTATAACTTATTTAGGCTTTGAATACTTAAATAGTGCACATACTGGCTTATATATACAAGAAGTCTTTGAAGAAAGTATTATTAATAAATATAGTATACGTAAAGAGAAAGTGTTTTATTTTTTTACCTTAAGTATATATATATATATATATATATATATATAGTTAACTAACTATTTAATTTCTTAGTATAACAAGAGATAACGGCACTAATAATAATACTTTTTTAAATAGCTTTTTACTAAGTTATAATACTAATAATAGTATATCTTTATATGATATAAGATGTATAGCACATATATTAAATCTAGTAGCTAAAGCTATTATAGATAAATATATTAGCAGTATAGTGTTAGATAAAGATATATCTGAATTTAAAGCAGAATATATCTTAAATAACTATACAGGCGCTTTAGATAAATTATCTTATAAAGATCAAGAAAAAGTATTAAAAAATAACTATAGTAAGTACTTTTAATTATTATTATAATAATTAATATACCTATATATATATATATACTTAGACTAATATTATAATAGGTAATATTGGAAAGCTGAAAAGATTAGTAATACTACTAAGAAATAATACTATATTATATGAAGAATTCTAAACTGCTATTAACCACGCAAAAAAGGGTAAAGAATTCCCTGTTAATAGTTATAAAACAAAAATACCCCTCTGTAAGTAACTATTTGCTACTATATATAATATATATATATTAATATTAATATCTATATATATATACCTACTTATATAAATATATTTATATTAATATCTATATATATATATACCTACTTATATATATATATTTATATTAATATCTATATATATATACCTACTTATATTAATATTATTACATATATATATATATATATATACATATATATATATAATACTATATAACCTAATAGTTACTAATCTTTCTCTAGGTAATGAGACTAGATGGAATTTAGTATATCTAATGCTTAATATAGCTATAGAGCTAAAACCAGCCTTAGATATACTATATAAGTTAACTAAAAATAAGATATTTAGGATTATTTATCCTAATATTAATGACTGGATACAACTTACTTATTTAAGAGATATACTTTAAGTTTTTTATAGCCTTACTATATATCTACAAAGCCGGAGTTATATAACTATTAGTACTATTCTTAGTATAATAGGGAATATTTATTATTAACTATTAGATATTAAAGCCCTATATACTTCTAAAGAAAACCAAGTAGATGAAGTAAGTAATTATTATTTAAGAAAGTATATATATATATATATATATATATATTATAGTATTTACTATTTAAATATATAAGCCTATATATTAAAGCTAGTATATATACTAATCTTATATTTATTATATCAATAATATTTTATTATTTATTAAATTAATACTATTATTATATTTCTTTTATTTATACTATTTAAATAGTATATTAATAACTATAGGAATTCTACTAACTATTTCTTTCTAGTTTAATGAAACTGAATATCCTTATTCTTCTATATTTATTAAAGCTATAAATATAGGGTTACAGAAGCTTGAAGACTATTTTCCATACCCTATTACGCCTAATACTTATTATAGTAAATATAAGCCTTATTTAATAGGGTTTATTCTAGACCCTAGACTTAATTACAAAAGTCTTAGAAAAAATAGTCTAGTATCCTTTATACCTAGTAGTATTATAACCTTAGCAAAAAACGACTTAGCAAGGGAGTTTAATAGGTAAGTTAAATATAAAGTTAATATATATATATATTATAAAACCTTTATTAATAGTAATATTATTATATAGTAAATAACTAACTAATTAATAGCTTAAAAAACTATATTATTAATGATTTATTAATAAAAAATCAAAAAGGTCTATACTTAGAATCTATTAAAGATAGAATAAGTATAGAAACCTTAACTAATAGTAATAATATTACTACTAAGAATAAAGGAAAAAATAAAGAAACTTTACCTATTAACACTACTATAGAAACTTCTAATAATACTATTAAAAGTAAAATTAAGCTACCTAATAATAAGGTTAAAGAGGAATATATTAGTAATTTATTTCCTATTCAAAGTAAACAAGAAAATAAGAATATACAAAAGGATGAATTAAATAACTACTTTAGAGTTAATATTCAAGGAGATAAAGTAAGTTAATTTATTATTATTAGACCCTTTATTATTTATTAGTAGTAAATAATATTACTAGAAAGAATATTAACTACTAGTAATAATATAAACTATAACTCTATAAGTAATATTATTAATTACTAGTATTAATATTAAGTTATTAACTACTAGTATTAATATTAAGTTACTAACTACTAGTATTAATATTAAGTTATTAACTACTAATATTTATATTAACTAATAATTTACTACTAAAATAAAATTAAATACTAATATACTATAACTAGGTTAACCCTATTAACTGGTGGCAAGATAACGAAGTTAAATTCCCTATACTAAGTATTATAGCTAGAAAATACCTTGCTATACCTTCAACTTTAGCTGCGGTAGAAGCTAGTTTTAACCAATCTAGTAATATAATAACAAAAAGAAGAACTAGACTTACCCATAAAAACAGAAGGCAACTAGTACTATTAAAGAACTAGAATTCTATTATTAATAATAATAGTAACTTAGAATTAATTAATCCTAAGTTATATAGTGATTTATTTGATTATTCTGAAGTTTCAGATGATGAATTAGATTTTACTATAGAAGAGGAGGATAATAATAGTATATATATTGAAAACGATATAGAAGAGGAATTAGAAGAAGAAATAGAAGAAGAAGAGAATAATACTTTAGTTATAGATTATTCTAGTAATAGCTCTAATATTCTTTAGTATATATATATATATATATATATACTAATACTATTAGATATACTAGATATAGATAATAAGAATAGTTAGATTTAAGATTATAGTTATTTTATACTTAAAGATTATTTATTATATTTAATACTTAGTATTACACTATAAACTACTATATATTACTTACTTATAATTTTACTATTTATTATTAATAGGAGTATATAGTCTAGGTAATTATATTATATTCTACTTTATATTATAAAATAAGTAGCTAAATATATATTATATATATTAATAATATAATTCTTAGTTTATTAACTTAAAGGTTTATAACTAACTAAAAGTTTAAAAATACAGTAGAAATATAATAAAAGAAATATAATAGGTTTAATTATATTTTAATATATAACTATTAATAACTATAAATAAAGTGTAATAAAATACAAAAATATAAATACAAATACATGTATTTGTATTTGTATTATATTTCCTTTTAGTAAAATACAAATATAAATACATGTAATGTATTTTTCCTCTAAAATACAAAAATACAAATACATGTATTTGTATTTTTGTATTTTGTATTTTTGTAATTCTCTGACTATTATATATAAAGGTTATTATAACCTCTAACTATAAGGGAAGGCCTTATATAAAGTAGCCTAGTAATTAAGAATAGGTTTCTATTATTTAGGGTATATATATAGATAACTAGGTAATACCTTTATATATTATTATAAAAAGTAAATATTACCTTTTTTACTAGTATACTAATAGCTAATTTTTAGCTAACTAGTATATTTACTTAAGTAAAAATAAATAAATAATAAATAAGATTAGCCTAGATTAGTTAAATTATTTTAACTAGTATATAAAGTTTTATATAAAAGGTACTTATTAACTCTTAATCCTTAATAGCTATAATAGCTATAAATTAACTAAATTTAATAATTTTTATAAGGAATAGAATATTATTACTTTATATATACCTTCTTATTTATTATATAAGCTTTAGCCTCTTAATATAGGTTATTTTAACTTATTAAAACACTTATATAGTAAAAAAATTAAGAAGATAATATAGATATAAATTTTATATATTATAAAAGTTAACTTTTTTTCTACCTTTAAAGTAGTATTTTTTACTTTAATAAAAAAAAATATATAAGCTAGCTTTAGGTAAGTTAGCCTTATACCTTTTAACCCTAAAGTAGTTATTTTTTACCTAGATTTTAAGCTAAATACACTAACACTTACTAGCTTATATTTAAGTAGCTTAGGCTTATAAGACCTAAAGACACTAACTATAGTACTAGAGGGTATATAAAGTACTAGTTTACTTAAAAAAAGGATCTAAGGTTATTAAGGTAGCTCTTTAATACTAATATATAAAGTTATTAACCTCTAAGCTAAAGGTATTAGTAAGTTAGCCTATAGGCTTACTATTATAAAGGCTAAGAACTACTAGCTTTATATAGAGATAAAGGTACTAAGTAAGCGTTAAAGGGCTAAAAAGGCCTAACTATATCTTAGAGAGTTACTTAATATAGCTAAAGTAGAGGCACTATAAAGAGAAAAGGAAGGTATTAAAGCTAGAGGTAAGAAAATATCCTAAAAGGAGGCTTATATAGAGGGTAATAAACTATATATATAATAATATAGTAATTATAAAAAGACTAAATATAATATATAAACCTATAAAGTAGTTTAAGATAGTAATAAAGAAGATAGTAATAAGTAGTTTTAATTAATTTTATATATTATAGCTTAATTAACTTATAGAAAAGGTAAAAAGGTAAAAAGAGGTATATAACTTACTATAATCTATAACTTACTATATAAGTACATTAGGTTTAATAGTATACTTTTTATACTTAGAGGTATAAGTCTTACTTTTTAAAAACTCTTTTAAATATTTTTATAAGAGCTTTTTTAAAAGTATTATAAAATACTATAAAGAAATTATTCTTTATAGTATAAGTATTACCTTATTATATTTTATTTTTAATTTTTTAACTATATACCTATTTCTAAAGTATAAAACACTTTATATTTAAAAGCTAAAGTAAATAAAAAAAATAAGGTAGTATATAAAGACTAATAATATTACTCTTTTTATAAAATAGCTTAAAGTCTATTAAGTAGTAACTTTTATATTTATTAAGAAAAAAAAGTAGTATTTTCTTTTTATATATAACTTTAAATACTAATTAAAATACTTAAGTTAATTTAGGCTTTTTTTATTTATTAGTTATTTATTTTAAAAAGTTATAATAACTTAGTAAGGTAAGAGACTAGATTTAATATACTAAATAAAGAAGAGATTTTTACTTAAAATAATAATATATAGTAAGATAGTAAAACTAAATAAACTAATAGCGTAAATAATTATAGTTTACTCTTAATTACTAAGCTATATTATTTTTATATTTAAATATCCTTTAGTACTTATAATAACTATTTTAGATATAATCTAGCTTCTTATAAAGCTAGTCTTATTAAAGTAATAAATACCTAACTTTATAATACTATATTTTATAATTATACTTATTATAAGAAAGAACTATATACTTATATAATTAAGATCTTCTTATAAGGCTCTTTTATAGTTATACTTATAAAAAAGTATATTTAAGGCTCTAGTGTTTATTTAATTAAGTTTACAACCTAGTACTTATAAACTAGTAGTATATTATAGTTAGTATATAGTTAGTTAGCTATATTTTAATACTACTAAGCTAAGAAAAAAGTATTAAGGAGTTAAGGTTAAGAATATACTTAACTAGCTTCTTTTTTTTAAGCTTTATTAAATTTAATAACTTAGGTATAGTATTATATTATAATATAGTTCTTTTTAATTATTAAGATAATATTATATAACTAACTCTATAGGTCTAAGTTGTCTCTTAAATACTCCTTATAGTGCCTTTTTAGAAAGCTTAAATAGTAAGATTTAATTAAGCTTTATTATTTTAGACAAATATTATTATAGTATTTAGAAGATATATTATAATAATATAGGTAGTAGGTTAGTGCTTTAGTGTTTTCCTTACTTATATATTTTACTTACTTACTATATGTCTTATATTAAATTAAATATTTACTTATACTTAATTTTATTTGTATTTAATTCTTTTTTTAATATTACTATAAAAGGGTGGTCTTTTTTATAGTGTACTATAAGATTAGAGACCTAAAATCTAGCTAGTTTAGCTATATCTTTCTTATTATATATAGCGCTTTATATTATAAGTTAACTTTATTTCCCTATCTCTACTTAAATTAAACTAATATATAATAATTTAAGATAAAATAATGTATTAGTAATAGGATACTGTTAAGTATATTTAAAAGTATAATCTTTTTTATTTTTTAGCTTATTACTATATAAAAACTGGTTTTTAGTACTATTAATAGAAGTTTAAAAAGAATTATTAATTAAATCCTCTTATTAAGAGGATAAAGACTCACTAGTATAGAAGTAATCTCTTAATTTAGAAGCTATTTCTATTTATTATTAACTATTTTTAATAACTATTAATAGTTAATAGGTTTAATAATTTTAAAGAATTTAAAAAATAAGGTAGTTAAGTTAATAGATTAAATAATAAGTAATATATATAATATACTTATAT